TTTGGAATTTTTGGCATATCATTGGCAATTTTGCAACTAGGGGTAATAATTTGCTAGATTTCTGCTTGTTATATATATTATATTTATCTATCCAGAATATAAATGTTTTCTCAACACTTCTGAGGTCCTTGTTTAGATACTGGCACGTGATTTAGTTAGTTTAGATAAATCCTTGTTTAAGTGGAGTTGATCAATTATTATGTTCCACAGCTCTTTCGAGTTCTAGTAGATGTAGAATATCTGGTACCTATGAGTCTGAATTAGAATGACACTATATTTTTCTCGCTATTTATAACTTTTATTGGTTAGACTCCATTAAAGTTTATCAAAGAAAAATTCTTAGAAGGCCTTTAGAGGGATTACATGATTTCATTTCTGTCTAGGAGAGATTCTACGGTTGAGTCCCTTGTATCTCTTTTTTTTTTTTTTTTTTTTTCTAGTTTTACTTTAATTGCTGGACAGCCTTTAAATTTGTATTGAAGTGACATCATGCAATAATCCTTGTATTAAATATTTAAGCTACTATCTTACGTACATGTACTGCTGCGATTTTATCAAGGCTTTGGATTTTACAGTTTGCATTGTTAGAGAGTTCTTCTGTTGATGATGACCTCGCCAACTTAAAGAAAGAATTATCAGGAAGCACAAAGGTATCTCATTTTCACTCCGACCATGCATTATATTTTACTTTTCTTCTTCTCCCGTTAAAGGATTTTTTTTTTCATCGTCAATGGAATCTTTTATCTTGGTTGGAGGAGAAATTACCAAACATCTAGCATTCCCTCAAGCTTGGCGACAATGAGGTTTACGATTTATGGCTGCTTATGGAGACAACGTATGGCTGTCAGAAGTGCCTTGAGAATTGTTTTTTCTCTGCTTGCCTGGCAAATTATTAACTGATTTGTGTTAGATTTTCATGTGGGATAACTATGGCGTTAGTTATTGATAAATGTTGTCTTTTACTTGACAGAAGGGAGAGCTTCCACCGGGGAGAACACGCGTGCCAAGCACAAGCTCAGCATTAAAGTTTCAAGATCCTGAAATCGAATGAGGCAAAAAGCCAAAGAATAGTGTAAGGATTCTTGACTCGGAAAATCTGGTTTCGAATTTTAGAGGCGACCTTGGATTTCGGATTAAAGAGCAAAATAGAATTTACTTCGGTCGTCCACTGTGTACATTGTTAGAAATACAATTATACAGTATTAAAAGTTCGTAGAAATACCAGCTTTTGATTATTAGATAAAACTTGTAAGCTTTTGTACAAATTCGATTTGCTTGATCGACAAATAATTATATTTGATGTTACGAGGATTTTAAAGTTAAATTGCAGTCGTCATCTCCAGTCTTTACCCTTTTTGCACTTTTTATTTGTAACATCTGTTTCTTGGTATAATTGTCTCAAACCTTTCATAAATGTGGAATTTATACAAAACACATACTTTTAGGGGGTGTCAACGAGTCGAGCCAAGTCGAGCCGAGCCGAAACTTTTGCATGGGCTTGGCTCGAGTAAAAATATTTCAAGTTTTTTTCTTTTGCCCTAGCCAAGCAAAAGTTCGACCAAAAAATTTAGGCTCGACTCGAGCTTTCGGCTCAGACTTTAGCGAGACGAGCCGACTCTTTTTTTTTTTTTTAATTCGTGACAATTCTAATTTTTTTTTTAAAGAACTTAAAATTTGTGTAATTTATAGGTATTATAAATAATAACTAAATATTAACATATAAAAAAAATTACAACTAAAATTAAAAGAAAAAATAAAAAATTTTAATAAAGAAGTGGTTGGCAAGTATTTTTTTTTAGGCTCACGGGCCAGGCTGGCTTGAGCCGACGCCCCAAAATGGGGCTCGGCCCCATGAGCCACGAGCCGGGCAAACTCGGGCTTTTCCCGAGTCGAGCCGGAGATGGAGCGGCGAGCCATTTTGCCATCCCTACGTACTTTTGTTAAAAAAAAAAAAAAAATGAAAGAAATAAAATATATCCCATTTTTATTCTTAATCATAATTATCCCTTTTCATCCAATATTTAGTAAAACTCTCCCCATTTAAATTAAACCCCAGTTTTTGAATCCCTTATTTTTCCCTCGTCATTTCAAACAGTATCCAATGTTTCCAAATAATATAGTAACAAATATGTTACTTTACATGTAAAATAATATTTTCCTCTTTTTTAGTAAAAAAAAAATTAAAATATTTCAATGTTAACATAGTAACACATATTATTCTAACATTTAATCCGTAAAAAAATATGAATATTTAATGAAGATTAAAATATTAATTTTTATATGAAAATGTTAAGTAAATTCCCAACAGTTTCTTGGTATAATTGTTTCAAACCTTTCATAAATGTGGAATTTGTACAAAACACATACTTTCAGGGGGTGTTAACGAGTGGAGCCGAGCCGAGCTGAGCTGAAACTTTTGCATGGGCTCGGCTCGAGTAAAAATATTTCAAGTTTTTTTTTTTTGCCCGAGCCAAGCAAAAGTTCGACAAAAAAATTTAGGCTCGACTCGAGCTTTCGGCTCAGACCTGAGCAAGGCGAGCCGACTCTTTTTTTTTTGAAAATTCATGACAATTCTAATTTTTTTTTAAAAAAAAGAACTTAGAATTTGTGTAATTTATAGGTATTATAAATAATAACTAAATATTAACATATAAAAAAAATTACAACTAAAATTAAAATAAAATTTTTTTAAAAAGAAGTGGTTGGCAAGTAATTTTTTTTAGGCTCACGGGCCGGGTCGGCTTGAGCCGACGCCCCAAAATGGGGCTCGGCCCCATCGAGCCACGAGCCGGACAGGCTCGGGCTTTTCCCGAGTCGAGTAGGAGCTGGAGTGGCGAGCCATTTTGTCATCCTTACATACTTTTGTTAAAAAAAATAAAATGAAAGAAATAAAATATATCCCATTTTTATTCTTAATCATAATTACCCCTTTTCATCCAATATTTAGTAAAATCTCCCCATTTAAATTAAACCCCCGTTTTTGAATCCCTTATTTTTCCCTCATCTTTTCAAACCGCATCCAATGTTTCCAAATAATATAGTAACAAATATGTTACTCTACATGTAAAATAATATTTTCCTCTTTTTTAGTAAAAAAAAAAAAAAATTAAAATATTTCAATGTTAACATAGTAACGCATGTTATTCTAACATTTAATCCGTAAAAAAATATGAATATTTAATGAAGAGTAAAATATTAATTTTTATATGAAAATGAGGTATTTTTCAAAAATTATAAAAGGAGGTAAACTGTAAAATATTGATTTTTTAATTAAAATATGAGTTTTTTCTTTTTAAATAAATAAATTGAGAAATGAAGTGTTTTTAAGATTTTTAGATAAAAATTGGGCATTTATGAAGTTATCCTATTGTAAATTAGCGATCGAAGGTTAATATGGTAATTTCCGTCCAAAATAAGGTACGGTTCATATGAGCTCACATCTTTTGATTTGAAAATTATAAAGTCGATTTATTGGAGAAAATATATTTTTTTGCCTTGCTTTTGCTATTTGCGTAGATCTTGATTAATGTATATAATTTTAAATGGAAAAATGTTCCAACTCGTGTAAATTGTGGATGAAAATTTGTCATTTTTCTTCCATTTCCTGTATTCCCAATCTCTTGATTTTATTTCTAAAATTTGAATTTCATCTCAATTTTGTTGCACCCAAATTGGTTAAAAACAAGCGAAGAAGGGTTACTTAAAACACAAAAAGCTAACATAAATATACGAACGATTGAACAAGTATCACAAGAAATATAGCCCCTATTCGACAAGCATTATTTGTGTAAAATAGAGTTTTGAATATTAATTTTTTGGAGAATGTATGATTAAATAATGAGAATTTTTTTTTGAATTTACGTACAGAATATTTTATTATATGAATGCGTAGTTAAAAATAAGTATGTAAAAAAGAGTTTTAAAATAATAATAGTAAAAAAGAGGTATAGTTGCAAAGGAAAATGCCCCCACTTATACAACTCAAAATCGTTGCATTTCCAATGACATTTCCACGAGATATATATCAAACCCTAGAATAATGCTATATAGCATTAGTAGTATTACGATACCAGTTTATATGGTATTATATGATAGATTCAATCAAATGTGAAATCATGCGACTTATTTAACTTTTTCTTTCATTTAATGATATTTAATGTTATTTAGACTGGTGCCGTAATGCCAGTAATACTAATCCTTTGTTTGAGTCTCATTGTTTGGTAAAAATAAATTTCAGAATAGTGAATTTTTGAATAACGACTACTTTAAAAGTAGAAAAAAATTTAAATTTACGTGTAATATTATTTTATTATGATAATACGTGATTAAAAATGAGTTTGAAAAAAATATATTATTGAAAAATGGGGCTCAAGAGCTAAATAACATTACTCCAAACCCTTGGGCACATTTAACGAAGGAAAGTATATATCATTGCACTTGCAGATACTTTTATCTAAAAAATGTTCAAATATTGTGACGATATATTCCCCCATCAAGTTCCGCTGGATTCGGCCCAGCCCTGACATGGTCCATGCCAGGTTCGGCCAATAATGCTCCTTACACATACTGCCCACTGAGGGTTTGGCCCCAATGTGATTTTTCTTTTGCACCCCCAGATATTCGAACCCTAGAGCTTACTCGAGTTAAATAAAGCACTTTCATCCTCAACACGATACATTACAGAAATTGAAAGAAATGAATTGTTACAAAACTGAACATTAATTACATAATGCATTGAATTTTCACCTTACAAAATAGTGACCAAATCCTCAAATAGTAAGTACGATCACCATAATAATAAAAATACAGTAGTCTTATCCGCGCAAGATAATTCCAAGGCATCAAGACAACTATAGAAAGAAAATTATTCAAGGCGAGTACAATTCGATTTCTAACTAAACTCTCATCTGTGCAAAATCGCCGTGAACGTTTAATGCTGGTCTCAAAACAATTCTAAGACAGACATCTTCCTTAAGTACCGCCTTTCACTCCATTCTGCTCTATGGTTTGATCACAAAGAGAGGCTGTAGACAATAAAAAGTCATGTACGAACACATAAATAGGAAGAGGAAAAAATAGAGGCACTTGTGAAATTAGTCGAAGAGAACTCACGATGTCAACACTGACAGACTTGCCATCCTCGGCAAGGATCTCAACTACTGTTCCCGACTGATCAGCCTACATAGAGAATTAGAGATGATACTGGCAATAGCGAGATTAAAAAATAAAAAATAAAAAATCCAATAGTCAAACTAGGATGCTGATGCAAATTCAGTAATACATCATGTCTCTGTACATTAAAGAATAGTTAAAGCAAGAAGGGAGAAACCTCGTGTAGATAGACACTTCTAGGAACATCCAAGGAAAGAAACGCAAAAATATGTTTACACTTAATTTATTTTTTTCTTTTTTTTATCATATTATGTATTAATATGGAAATCAACACGTTATTAAAAAAACTTTCCAAAAGAATATCATGATTTTGGGAAAGAGAGCATTGCATTTATGCCATTGATCTTGTCAGCTGGCAGGTAAAAGAAATGTTGCTCAAGCATGCATTCACCTGCCTCCAGCCTATAGTTGGTCCTAATGACCCCAGCAGGACCCAGTATCTCTCTCAATTACAGGCACCACATCAAATCCATCAAAAAAAGAGTCATCAGACATAAGATTTTAACAGATTCATTGCTATAATGCTTTCATCTATTCATCTATAGGTTCAGGTTTCAGATACCACTCAACCAAAATTTCAAAGCTAGGAAGCATGGACACTTTTACCGGACCAGAGTTATCTGTGTTAGACAAGTGTCAAAAGTAAACCCCACTCGAACATATTTTACACGTGGAATGTGCTCACTGAATAATTTTGCTATTTTTCTAATTTCAGACATGCGGGGACTGCTGATACAAAGGGTACACATTAAGTGCCTATTTGAGCCCCTTTTTTTTGACAAAAATGCTTTTTGATATTATGATTTGATGAAGAATGTGTGATTAAAAAATGAGAAAACGTTTTGGATTTGCGTGTAATATTATTTTATTGAAAACTGTGTGGTTGAAAATAAGAGAAAAAAATATATATTTTGAAAAAAATGGGTACCAGACAAGGGCTAAGTCCACCCAGGAGCTTTAGGTCCAATGTAATTTTTTATTAGAAAAACAAAACAAAAACAGGAAAATGTTTAATTAAACTAGGAAAAAGAAAAAGAAAAAGAAAAGTTAAGAGAGTGATCATCCAAGACTTGTATAACTGAAGAACTTGGTTGGCCACTTCTTATGTGCTTACTAAATTCTGTGAACAGAATATTCCAAAAACCACTATCCTATTCATATTTTTCTTATGTTTAAAATTATAGTGCAACCATGTTTCATTTCCTATATTTTCAAATTTAAGAAAAAGTAATTTTGAGATAGTCATTTTTTCCTCAGTTTTAATTTGTCATTGCAAATATTTTATGTTTGACATTTAACTTAAAACTAATATTCGATGATATATAACAAAATGCTAACTTGTCCATGGTCAAATGGCCTTGTTTCTACCTGGTGAAATTTTCCCAAATAGCGATCTCTTCTATAAAAAAAAAATATTTTCTCCAAAAATACCATTACTTGATGTAAATGATGAGTGATACATTTCATGAGAATTCTTGGCCATTGCTTCGAAAGAAAAAAATGAAATATCTCTCAATTACTCACATTATCAACTCATCTAAACTCTATGAAAATTACCAAGACTTTGATTATAAGGAGGGAGTAATATCTATCGAGTCCCATTTTTTTTTAAAAATGTAGTGCCCCATATCCAGAGCATGTTTATGCCACCTGTCCAAGTCCTTCTTAGGGTTGAAGAAAAACGAGTGAGAGGAGATGAAGTGCAAGGCAAATACAGAGGAAGACAATAATATGCATGATTTCAAATGCAAGCATAAGTATTATTAATTCAGTGTGAGACATCCACTGCCTTTATTACAGCCAGTGTTCTAAAAAGCGTAAGGCGTGGTTAGTCGTAATGGCCCATCTTCAAACTAGGCGAGGCCTAGGCATAAAAAAGCATAAAAAAAGTTTCTTATTTTAATATTATTTTTAATTTTTCATCAATATAAAACTAATTGAATAATTAAAATTTTACCTACCAAACATCTAAAATTATAAAATATTATATTAAAAAAAAAAAGGAAAAAAAAGCATGCCTAGGCACCCAAAAAAAAAAAAGCGCCCATGCCCAAAGCGAGGCCTTTTGCCCATGCTTCGCGCAGAGGCGCGCTATTCAGAACACTGATTGAAATCATCTTCATAGTCTAACAAGTTAAGCAAGGATATTCACAACCCATAAACTACCCTTCTCTTACAAGTTTGGTTCCGTTCTGGTGCAACTTTAATTATTTAAACTTAATAAGAAAAAAATAACATTTCTTAATAACTAAAACTCAACACTTAGTTGGATAATTCCAAAATATAGATAGGTTGTGCTAATCGAAAAAGAATATATATATATATATATACATATATATATATATATATATATATGAGCATGAAGAAACTTTGACGAGGATGTTTCAGTTTTGAATTGCTAGTGTATTGGCAAACAAAACGAGACACTATATTGCATTACTAAGCCTGCATTTGGATACAGATTTTATAAATGTTTTATAAATTCAGTCAAATACAAAAATAATTTCAACCCACATTCATAACTACTACTAATTATTATCCACACATTTTGTAGGACCCGTTATTATTGTGATGATATATTCCCCCGATCAAGGTCCACCGGATTCGGCCCAGCCCTGACATGGTCCATGCCAGGTTTGGCCAATAATGCAACTTATACATACTTTCCACTGAGGCTAATAAACTTTTGCAAGTAGGCTTGTTTTCTAACAAATTCTCATAGGATGATATTTCCATTTAAGTACTAACAATATTCTTAAAATAGTCACCAGATAATGAAATTGGATGTGTTATTTGAGAGATCAGACTGGACTGTGAAGCTCATGAATAGAAGATATCATTGATATATAGTGCATAAAAAACAATATAAGATTTCATGGCGTCAGCATTTAGCAGTAATTAAAGCTTGAGAAAACCAAAAAGCATCAAGTAATCAACTTTATTGGCCTAATAATCAAACATACCATTAAATTATTAAAAATATGATACGTTCCTGGTTGAAGTCACTCATTTCCCAAGCAAGCAGAAGAAATTATGAAGGCAGAAAATAAATCACAAGGAATTATTGGAGAGCTGAATTACATTTCTGTAAATGTAACATTTGCTGTCAGGAAGAAATTCTATTAGATGAGAATTACAGCTATGATGTAACTCTTCTTTTTGTAATACAGTAAAATGCTTGAAAGATATGAAAAGGATATTTGGCTTTTCGAGAGAGCCAATTCTCTCCCCCAAGACTACACTCAATTTCTGCTTGCCCAAAATGAAACATTCCCCCCAATTTGTAGGCAACAACCTATACAAGTTATTGTATTAATCCCCACAATACCCTTGCACAATTGACAGTTGAACAAATTAGTAATTTGAGGTTCTATCAAAATATTATTGGCCTAATAAAACAAGAAACAGCAAAGTAACAACTAAAGCCACAGTGGCAGTATCTGGAACCAACAGTAGATAGAAAAGACAATGTACTTGCCTCTATTTCATTCATCAACTTCATTGCCTCAATGATGCATAGAACCTGCCCCTTCTGTACTTTGTCTCCAACCTGCACAAAAATGCATATCGTAAGGCAATTGAAACACCCACGCACACGCACACTGATATCACAATGTGTTGTGCCAGGATGCCAGCTATTCTGTGCTCTGTTATTATAACATGTAATTTAGTGGTAGTTTTGATTAAAAATTAATAAAAGAAAACAAGAACAACTTCAGAGAGTAAAGCAGTCCTCAGTCTTTTTAACAAATTATGTACCTATCCTAATAGACATAATTCCTGCTTTCCGTATTTTCTATTATTGCATTTATGTACTCACCTTCACAAATGGCGGTTCACCAGGTCCTGGACTTCGGTAGAATGTCCCCGCCATGGGGCATTTAAGTGGTGGAAGAGATGAATCAGATGTTTGAGCTTTAGGAGAAGGTGCTGCGGTTGGTGCAGCAGATGGTGCATGAGTCGGCAGTGGAGAAGGTGCCAGGACTGGAGGAAGTATCGCAGGTTGAGCATGAGAATGCACCATTGTCACAGGAGCAGAAGGTGGAGGAGGCAAAGCCTCCTTTTTACGTATTAAAACTTCACTGTCAAGTTGTTTTAACTGCAGTTCCACAATATCTTTAGAATCAACTAACCTGTAAGGCAGCTGAATATATGACCTAACTTGTTCAGGATAAAACTGGAAAGAGGAAATCATAAGAATATGGTACCGAATGCTTACTTGACAAGACTTGCTACTTGAGTAAAAAACACAGATAATGATTCTTCTGAGGCCAAAGTGGGAGTTGGAGACTCAACTGAGTTCTTGACATCCTTGGCTGCAGATGATACCTCTGATTTAACAGGAGTGGTGGCCGCAGCCTTTGCAGATCCATCCACAGCAACCTTGAAGGCAACAGATGGCTCCAAAAAGGTTTCCAAAAAGGAACGAAAATTTGAAAAAAGTTCCTCAAATGAAAACCACTGGGAAAACCTTACCTCATTCAATTGAGCTCTCACCACAGCAGAACAGTTCCAACCATACTGCAAACTCTATACCACCGAAACCAATTATCACAGAAACATCATGACTAATGAAATTATAAGCTCATATTTTTTTGTTTTCTATTTCTCGTTATTTTCCTTAGAGCCAGAACCCGCATGTCACTAAAGCAAAGGAAAAACAAATCTTTTCTTCATTGGATCTTCTTCTTTTATTTCCCAAGTACAAATAGAGAGTAGATTTTATCATCTCTCATGGTGGAAGAAATTTTAACAAGAAAGTATGTTATTCAAAAATAACAAAAGCCAGTAGAGCTCTTCAAATACTATCTGTGGCCAAAGCAAATCTTTTAAACTTCCAAGTCGTTGTGAGTGATGATCCAGATAAAATGTATCCTGATATATTTGAAGACTTCATCCAACATTGGCTTAAGTGATCCATGTAACTTCACAGCATTTTTTTTTTCATTCCTTCTTTCCAGGATTTATTTCATGATGGGATATTTAGTCTAAATCAAATGAAATGACTAGCTATCCATTCAAGAAGTTTGGTTGTTTTAACTTTGAAAGAAAAGATATCCAGAGAAAAGATGACACATTGAAAATTATTAAAGAAAGAACAGAGTGAAATTAAACGTTGTAGGTATGCAACCTCGTTATTCAACTGCTAAAAAAATTGCAACTTCTATACAAAAATAAGTAAATTACCTCCAACTGTGGCATTTTTACTGTGGACAGTGGTGATGGGACAGGTGTTAACAGCGGATAATCTTCGAAGAAAGGGCTATTGTATTACGGAGTGGTGCTATATGTGTAAGAGGGATGGTGAAACGATCGATCATTTGTTCATTCATTGTGACGGTGTTCGTTGGATGTGGAATGATGTTCTGGCTTCGCAACATATGAGTTGGGTGTTGTCAAGGCGTATCAAGGAGGTGGTGTGAGCATGGAAAAGAAAGTTTCGAGATAAGAATAGCAAGTTTGTTTGGGATCTTATTCCAGAATGCATCGTTTGGTGTGTGTGGAGAGAACAAAATGGCAGATGCTTTGAAGACCAAATACGGACGACAGAGCAATTTAGGGAATTGTTTTATTTGACTTTGTATAGTTGGTTTAAGGTTGTAATCATTAGTCCGATAGAAGGGTTGCCGAATATTTTATCGTTTCTTTTTTATTTAAACTGATAATGCACTCCTTGTGTATTATCTTTTTATTTTAATCTATAAAATTACGTGATTACCTATAAAAAAAAAAAAAAAATTTACAGGAGGCTATTACAGCCAGCTTTACTTGTTCTCTTTTCTATTCTCCAATTCTTCTTTTTAAGTTTTTTTGGTTAGGATATATATAAAATGGCTCAAAAAATAATTAATATGTTCTAGGCTATAAAGAAAAAGACAAAAAGTTTATGCTAGTGACAAAAAGTCTAAATATAAAGGCGAGAAATACGAGTGTCCACCTCGGATCACCTAAAACATATGCCTAGAGGGCCTGAGGCCGTGTGCCTTAATAAATCAAGGCAAAATACCTTCACGAATGACACTGAAATCATGAACACTTGAGACGTGCCAGTGCCACTGGGCACAAGGCATATGCATGCTTTTTAAAACAATGGAAAAACATAAATCGCTTGTATGAACTCA